GCTACCGAAGAATCAAACAACTTTAAGATTTGGCTTCTGTGGTGGAATCATTCTAATATTTCACATAACCGTTAACGTACATCTTGAATGTTGTCACGCCATTCATTCAGACAGATCTCGAAGATATGTTAATATCTATGCGAGGACAGCGGATTAGATATCGCGAGGCCGGTTCACAATCCGTAAAAGCCTGTGATATGCCATGAATAGTCCATTGCATCAATATTACGGCAATATCACGGCGGGGGATTCCCACATTGTGCTTGTGATATGCGGAGAATCGAACCTGGACTTTCGGCACGAGGAGCGAACGCTTTTACCACTAGGCAACGCCAGCGGCCTTGATCATATGATCAACCTAATGTGTTTTCATTTTTAAAATGTTAAAGTTTGCAATCACAGATAATATTTATCACCACTGTAAAATGCAAGAATATCAGCATATCATCACCATCACCATCACCATCATCATCATCATCATCATCATCATCATCGCCGTCACCATCATTATCATCACCACCACCATCAGCATCAGCATCGCCACCGGTATCGTTATCACAGGTATATACGGTACTCCACACATAGATTAACGAAGGGCATCTATTTGATCAGGGGTTATTTAAATATATATAACAGCTGTGTGTCAGTATATCCAGTTTCTGTCAGTGCAAAAAAATACCAAGTCGGTCAGCTGTGAACGCGGTTCTTCAGCATCGGACATCAGCTGTCCTTGACACGCACATTTCAGCGCATTTGAAGCTTCTGAGAATGCCCCCTGCAGAGTTGGACGAACATTCTGTGGTAGTGTTCGCGGCGGTGTTGACCAGAGGCTATCAGCAGTATATCCTGTCCAGGTTATCTAGGTCCGTTGTGTGTGTGTGTGCGTGCGTGGGTGCGTGCGTGTGTGTGTGTGTGTGGGGGGGGGGGGGGGGGGGGGGGGGTGAGAACGGGGGGATAGGTGATGGATTTAACAACAAGTAAGGTCATCTTGAGCGGGACGGTTTTCGTAGGCAATAGATGGATTAGCATATGAACTATGATTCTCTTTAGGTAGAAAAAGATCCACGATGTTCGACCTGGTAGAAGTGTGTAATCTAACCGCACAGCATTGGTCTTTGATTGACTGTGGCGTCAAAACAAACTCATTCATGTGCTTGATCTGAATGTTCATCTTAATTGTTATGGATAGTCACGGAGCCGTGATCCAGAGAACAGGGTGTCATTAGATAAAAATGAAGTAATAATAGGATTACCAGAAAAACGGGGTATAACACCCAAGCCAATAACCTCCCCTCAGGAACACCAGAGTAAGTCAGTACAAGATTGAAAACTGCCCCATAAGTATGTATGACAGGCTAGTCGGGTATTGCTAATTAATAGCAAAACTGATGAAAGTCACCAATAAACGTGTATAAGTGTTATATCGTCACTGCGAAAATAATGAGTGTTGTCTTCAGTATTAACATTCAAATACGTGATATCTGTATTAGCGATATTGTCTACGTTCCAACGGTGAGTAAGCGTTAGCCTTACTATCTCGTAGTATAAATGTTGCAAGAAATTGTATTTCTGAAGACATCACCATAGTGTTTTTACGATGCATCACGTCTGCACCAGCGCTTGATAACACCCTTGTGTTTGGGTGTTTCAGTAGTTTAAATTGCTGTTCTTGATGTTGTTGAATAAACTTTGATACTATGAACAATATAAGGTTATATGAGAGTATGACGTTAGAATGGTAACATGCGTTAATGTATATCTGATATAAATATATATATATATATATATATATATATATATATATATATATATATATATATATATATATAATAGGATGACATACATAGAACAATGAGTAGTACGTCCAGATTAGTGTATAGGCAACATTTTAAAGTAGATGAAAGAACACAATCGTCCGGAATACAATGTATAATTCGAGTGCACTTCCATGTGACTATATAGCATACAATAAGCTTTCGGGTCCCGTTTGGGTCGGTTTGGGTGGTAGCTTAGATATCCATAGAGTAGGTTCATCTCGGAATCTCCCATATAACTGGGGCTCCACTTCAATTTAAATGGAGTTACTTGTTTCTTTCAAAACTATACAGTTTTAGAGATTAAGCATTAGTCTGAATAGATATCACCAGTTTGGAATTTGAAACTAATCTGTTTACAGTAACAGAACACTGTTAAAGTGCCATGTACAAATGAGAAAGTGGAATCCCGTCAATTAGGCGGACGAACCTTAAAACTATTAATAAACATTAAAATAAGCAATATCGGGAAAATTTATTATGCATATACTATCTGGCAATAAACACCAAGATCACCTTCTACAAAAATAAGTTTTAAAAGCCGGTTGATATTCTTTTGCGTATTTGACGATTATATAACTTTCGAAAGTATAAATCCTTTTCCTATACTCAGACGTTCCTGAGCCTTGCGCTTTCCTAATTATTTTGACTAAAATTATTACCGTTATCGTTGTATTTGTTAATGGGAAATACGCGCCGATCAAGTACGTGCCATAAATTAAAGCGACATTGTACGATTCCGAACTCATCACGAGACTGTGTTTATGAATCACTGTCAAAAAGTGGTGACATACAGTGGAAACAATACGCGAAATCGCGCATGCACAGAACGGAAAATTTGGACAACGCATTAAGCAATCCGCATGCGCAGAACGATTAATTTCAGTACTTCCGCTAAGCGCTTCGAATACAGCGTCAAACTCGGGCCTGTAATCCAACACGCGAGAACCGACCAATGAAATCTGAGAATTAGGAATACCGGTAGACGCTGTTGCTTGATTGACAATGACAATCAAGAAAGGGAGGAGCTTGATGATATCGATCTCTCCCAGTAAATTCCGATGTCAAATAACGACGTTAGTTGGACGGAAAAACGATGGTTTGAAAGCGTCCAAATAACGTCGTTTTTCCGTCCAATGACCATATACGGAAAAAAACGACGTTTTCGTGTTTGCAGTGTAATCACACACTTACTATACTGATATAACATATTACCACACACCTACTATACCATTAAAACATATTACCACACAATATTATTCCAGTATAACATATTACCCCTCACCTTCTATACCGGTATAACATGTAAAACACACCTTCTATACCAGTAAAACATATTACCACATACATACTATACCTTTATAACATAGTACCACCGAACCTTCTGTACCAGTATAACATATTACCACACACCTTGTTATACCTTTATAATCCATTACCGCACATATACTAAACCTTTATAACATAATACCACACACCGTCTATACCCATATAACATACTACCAAACACATTCTATACCAGTATGATATATCACCAAACACCTTCTATACCTTTATAACATATTACCACCAACCTTTTATACACTATGCTAGCATAAAATAGTAAAATAGATATGTTGATATGGAGCTGGCATGCGGGACACACACACGCACACACGCACACACGCACATAAGCGCACAAACACACATGCTATCTACAGGATTACGATTAACCCTGTGTAAGAACAACAGTCACAACATCGTCAAGCGAAACAAGTACAACACAACTGCGAAAAACATATTTGACTATTTAAAAAAACATTTTCAAGAATGATGCTTTGATAAAAATAGCATTGATGACTTCATAACGAAATATGATATTTTAAAGATTCAATAATATTTTGACATGTTGATCAGTTCGATGTACTTCTACAGAACATTAGCCTGACAGAAAACGCATCATAATGTAGTCCTTCAACGCCTGTCTCTGGAGTCGAAATTGCAAAATATAATGAATTAAGAATAAGCGCGAACATATCTGTAACCATCTATCCTTTATATATGTAATTTGTTAATGCAAATATTTATTATCTGACATACACGCAAACCTGTTTATCTCTTATTTAAACATATTTGACTGATAAAATCAAAGGAGGCCCCTCCTATCCTTTTACTTATACACGTGGTCCCTCCTATTCTTTTAATTATACACATTTTCAGTGATGCAATCATACAATTTTTGCTGCAATTGTTCCATTTACGCCCAATGAATTCTGATTCGGCATATAATCGAGACTGGTTATTCTCTGCCACTGACGTGTTACATTAACAAACAGTTATACATTTCAATGTATTATTAAGTATCTTCATTTGTTTTAGTATTCATTGGTAGGTCATATATTAAGTTCAAGACAGAAGCTTGTAATGTTAATGTATTTATCACTAATCTCTCTAACCCATGTATTTCGTGCGGGCATGTCAGTAAATACCAACTACACACGTATATATGTAGAATGATCACGTATTGAAGGATATTGCAATATTTACCTGTATGCGCATGGTAAAAACAGCCTCCACGAATTTATGCAACACATTCTGGGAGTTTCTGTGAGCATGTTTTCATTCTAGGAAAGGTTTCTTATTTCGAGTTACCATGTTTGGCTGAACCTTTACTCTACTTTAATGTTTAAACACGTTTCGCTTTGAGGTGTGAATTATGATCTGCTATATGGCAATACCATGGATTATAGAGACGAACACTTCTGTCTCCCCTGCCTTGATGCTGACCACAATCATAGAACACAAACAATGCTGCATTCCACAACTGGTTCCTAGCCGCCACACCTTGGACTTAATGTCCTCCAATATAGGAGTAATCTCGAACCGTGTTTAACCAATGAATCTTATAACATTCTCAAAAATCTTGCAGTAGCTACCTAGACATGAAACCCAATGTACACAACTAGTCTTTGACCAGCGGTCATTCCTGGGGTCCTCTTGGTCAGTTTTCTGATCTCTGATTTGTAATGCGTCGTGCTGTTGTATGGCTGAGCGGGAAAACAAAGACAACCATTTAGAATTCGTCCCGAGTCAACAAGGAGGTAACTCAAAAGGCACACAGTCCGCAAGGGTTGTCAATATTAACTCAGAGGAGTACAAAACACACGGCAGCAGGCTCGTTCTTCAGTCTCGCCTTCACAAGCCAGCAGCTCTGATACCTAGCTTAACATCGAACAATACTCAAGTGAGCATCGCAAGTTGGATCTTGTAATTATTGGCAACGGTGCGAAAAAGACCGTCAGCTCTCCGTATTACGTCAGGATAATAGCATCAGTGAATTGCTTCTGTAGAAAGGCCTTGAGAACGCGCATTTCTTCCAACGTCCACTAAAGCAGATTGGACGTGTGAGAAACATTCATCTCTGATCTCTGGAAGTGAAGACCTAAAATATCTACACGTAACCCACCTACCTGGCTCGAGCTGAACACAAATCGAACAGTTTTTGCACCATCTGGTTTTGGTATTGGTCAAGAAGGGTCATCAGTCGGTCATTCTCGAGATGTCGCGTGCTTTAGTACTTCTCTTGATATCATCGTTTGTTTGGAAAGGTAAGTAACAGTTTAAATCTTATCTTATGGTTTAGATTCAAATCCAGCAATATTCTATTCATCTCTCAGATAATCCTCATGGAGTTCACAGCACGGTAGAAATATATAGTTAAATTATGAGATGTCACACTTCAGCTTTAAATATAAGCCTTGCATGTTCCTGACGGCTTAAAACAGGGAAGTAAAATATATGTGTCAGTTGATAAATTGTACATGAGTGTAGTTTGGTATAATTTCATTTGGAACAAATGTACGCGGAAAGGGACTGTGAGACTTTCTAAGTCGCAGAAACCGTGATATACTAACTATTTCATTTTGAAGGTGTGGTTTTCAATGAGTTGCTGTTAACACCAGAATCAAACGTAAAATTAAAATCCATAGTTCCTCAAATGTATGCAAACCTATCTCGGACGCAACATAAATAATTTTAAGGTGGTCACTTCATAGAATTTTCAAATAAATGCAATAAAGATAATTAAAATAAAATTAACATTTCAATAGTTCAAGCAATAGCCATGCTATATTGGTTATTTGCGATGGTGTCAGTTGGATGCGTTGTAAATGATGCTGACACGTTCATGTACCAGATAGTGAAGCGTGATCATGTGTATGCGATACATTAGGTACATTGTATAAACCAACCAATATCATTGTTAAACCGTTCAGCCCATCACTCAGAACCCCCAGATAGTCATAAAATAACAGAATGTCAATTGTTTTTGGAAATAATTCATTCACAAGGCATTGAAAGACGAATTTATATATGATTGGTTTTAAGATAATGTTCCATGCGATGTATTACTAGATTATCTGAATGCGAAGTCTGCATTGGTGGGTTTAGAGGGTTTCGACAGATATTGAGTTAAAACATTTTATTTTAAAAACCCTCTGTCTCGTAATCATATATGCTTGCGAAACGAAAAGTATTGCATATAAAATTCAATTGAACTATATAAAATGGTGGTATTCTTTTGGGACAATTGAAGGAAAAAGCTTTTAAATGTTTCTTATGAGTTTAGGAGTAACATGTGAGTGTATATTTCACCCATTACTATACATTAAGATGGAGAGGCGGTCGGGTAGCCAAGTGGTTAAAGCGTTCAATCGTCACGCCGAAGACCCGGGTTCGATTCCCGACATAGGTACAATGTGTGAAGCCCATTTCTGGTGCCCCCCCCCCCCCCCGCCGTGATATTGCTGGAATATTGCTAAAAGCGGCGTGAAACCATACTCACTCACTCACTCACTCATTAAGATGGATTTCTTTAGAAATGCGTGGCGACTAGCTGCAAACTTGCTCATGCGCGTTAAGCAAAAATTCCTTCCTCCCTGTAGGAATGCATTTCACTCATTACAGTGAGTGAGTAAGTGAGTTGGGTTTAACGCCGCTTTTAACCCACGGGTATGGTGCTGACAAACCTAGAAACATAATCGGGGCGAACCGGGATTCGAACCCACAATCATAGGTTCCTGGCGTGCCCAAGGGACGCAACTCTGCACAGCGAATCGCGGCGCCTTAGACGACTTGGCCACCCGTGCCCCCTTCACTCATTACAGTGCATTAAGGGGTTTTCACAAACATGAGAACAAGATGTAGTAGTATTGGAGATAAGGATGAAGAGAGAGGTATTTTAGAGGTGAGGTACAGTGGAATCGGATTAAACGAAGCGTTAAAAAATATTGCCCTTGTATAGCGACATGTGTGTACGTGTGCGGCTTCTTGTACTAGTCCTAACTAATGCGGTTTTATAGTGCCCAGTGATATACGCGGTTGACCTTGGATACCCCTCTCGGGCACAGTATATAGACTCCGAGCCGACCAGTCATTGTTTTAGAACATTAATGACGAGCGCCAAGTAGGCTAACAAGTACCACCATGTTACATCTATTGGTATGACACGACAGGGATCGAACCACCGATCTTCCGCTCACCGAGCAACACTCTATCTGCTAGACCACAAAGGCCGTCATGTGTTATTTTAAAAATAATAAGCACAATTATCAGCTTGATGTCACAAAACCAACATGAACGCTTTCCATACATTGTCTAGTGCATAGTGTGGTCAAATGCAAATCACCCATTTCTCCAGAGTATCTTACACCTTGAAGAATGAACTCAAAAGCCAACAAGGGACATTCTCTGACTGAGTGCCTTACGATTTCGGCAGTGTCTGTCTAACGAGGGAACACAAGCCGGCTTCTCTTGTGCCTCTGTCAAGATGATCACTGTGTCCGAATTTAGCTCTCCGAGTAATTTGAACTACAAATGGCCGTTCCAAAAAATGTGGAGGTCACACGTTTTGGAAATAAAAAAACTGTATTGTTTGTGTATGGTGGTGAAGGTGTCTTGGCACGATTCTTGTCGGATTTGGAAAACGATGTTTACTGTTGATTTTAAAGTAGATAACAAATAATGGTTGTGAAAATAGTTGTGGGGTCATGTTTAGCTGTCATAACTGTTGCTTATAAAGTAGCAGACAATGGTACATGGACACAACGAAGAACGTATATCTGTATTTGGTAAAGCGGTTGACATTAACTTGATAGCCATGGCTTGGAAACGTTTGTGATTCAGATGTTTGCTCATGCCTAGCCATGTTGTCTTTGTCGTGGCAATTGCAGCTCTTAAATCTGACTCGTGACCACTTTAGCCCTGTAGTTTGTCACGTACCCACTGTAGCCGTGTAGTATGACTCGTGACCACTGTAGTCTTGTAGATTGACTCGAGAGCACTGTTGCTCTGTTACTAGTGGTATGACTAGTAACCACTGTATACCTGTAGTATGACTCGTAACTGCTGTCGCCCTGTAGTATGGCTTGTAACCATTGTAGCCATGTACTATGACTCGTGACCACTGTAGTCCTATAGTATCTCTCGCGAGCACTGTAGCGCTGTAGTATGACACGTGACCACTGTAGTCCTATAGTATCTCTCGCGAGCACTGTAGCGCTGTAGTATGACACGTGACCACTGAAACCCTGTAGTATGACTAATGACTAATGCATTTCTATGGTATGACTCGTGACCACTGTAGCCCTGTAGTCTGAACCTGATGACCCATCTCCATGGGGTGGAATGCGTGGAAGGGGGTGTCATGGTGCCACAACATTGACGGATTTAGAACACTTCTACGGACCCTTTTCAAAGTAACAAGCCAATATCTTTGAAGTGTTTATATTAATATAAACGCATTCCTGGAATGTAGAAGAACCTGCGTTCATCGAAATCCCATATAATTAACAAAACAGTGTGATTCATACAATTTCAAATGATACCAAATTGGCTTCTATTTTCTCACAAAAAAGTGGAATCCATCAATGGATGGAGAATGATGGAAATCCTATTAATGACACAGGTGCTTCACCACACTGTGCTCAAAATGCCGCCATAGATTCTACCAACACAATGCCATACACATCATCTACAGGGAAACTCCTCACTGTCACGCAGCTCAAACCTCAACCGCACTGCAGTTTTATAAAAACAGTTACCAAGTAAAGCAACATACTTAGAGTGTTGCCGTTATAATTCCTAACGGCGCAGTTTGTGGTTTTCTGTTGTCATTCCCGAAGATGCCGGTTGATGTTGTGAGTCTCCGTAGATGCAGTTTGATGTTTTGAGTCTCCGTAGATGCAGTTTGATGTTATGAGTCTCCGTAGATGCAGTTTGATGTTGTGCCAGATTCTGCTTGTGTTCTCTTTAGGAAGCAAACGTTAAAATCATTGTCTTAAAATATATACTTTTAAACCAAACGGATTAATAAATAAGTTTAGTACTGAATGTCCTTTTGACAGTATTGCAATGGATAAATAACTTTAAGGTCAAACACATCAAACAAAGCACCGGGTGTTCATTAATGAACAGAACAGTCCAAAGATAGCAATCCGATGTATTCAAATAGAACCAATCGTGTTCGTCAATAACAACTCATCTTTTCATTTTCTCCTGGGACCCGTAAAGATCTGGGGTAAAATATATCTTCCGCAACCCATGCTTGCCGTAAAAGGCGACTATGCTTGTCGTAAGAGGCGACTAACGGGATCTGGTCGTCAGACTCGCTGACTTGGTTGATGTATCCCAATTGCGAGGATCGATGCTCAATCATTGGATTGTCTCGACCAGACTCGATTATTTACAGACCGCCGTTACAAAGCTGGAATATTGCTGAGTGCGGCGTTAAGCAGCATGAAACAAACAAAACAAACATTTTCTCCTGGTACCTTGGATTGAGAGGACCTGGTAGTAAATGACACTCAAGAATTTACAACTGGGGTATCTCCTCATTATTTCCTCCAAAAAAGCAATTATATCGAAACACTGAAATATACTCAGTTTGAAGAGAAAATGAATAAAATCTTGCCACACACACAACAAATAACGTCCAATGTAAATTGCGTTGCCAATGATATAATTTGTAATTGGAAACTTGATTTCTTGTTGATTTAATCTGTAGTTCAACCGGAGTATATTTGACTGGGGCAACTTAATGCAAATGCTTCTGATGACGATGTCAACATGTGCGGGGGTCATCGTTCTTCTCCGGTGCTTAAACGCTTTTTTTTAAAGAAGTCAAGTTTTTAACGCAGGAAGTTAATGTTTGCTGCTTTAATTACTCACAGACATTGTCGTTTTGCTACAAACTCTCCGAAAACAAGTCAAACACTTGTTATTTGACTTCTAAGTGTGCCGCCAGGTGTCACGTGACGGAGAAATGGATTTGACCGCAGGGAGCGACGGCTGGTTAATTGTGGGACAGCATCTCATGTCATTGAGTTTGATAGGGATTGGCTTCCGGAATGTAATATGTATTTATGAATTGTTTTTCAAACAGTGCGTCAGATTTATTCTACCGAGAAGCATTTCGATAACATGCCGCGTTATACCATACAGCATTATAATCGTTGACAAATGAAGGGAGGTGAAAAGACAAAACCTATTGATTACATCAGATAGTTTAGATCGTGTTATGGTAGAGCATATTTTATTATTTCAATAAAGA